AGATTACTGCATAAGTCTCATAGAACATTAATAACATCTTGAAAACAATGGCTGGTGAACAATCAATCAGTGTGTAAAAACCAAACACATACAAACGTTCCACAGCTGAGATCAATATTTAAATAGATATGAATGAAAACCAAAGGCTTTTCAATCCAACAAGTCATAGTTTTACCCCTAAAATGAACATCCAGATGGATAACCCCATTAATCTACATTGTGGTGCTTCTAAAAGCCCCTTTCATTCAGCTGTATACACAAAGATCCATGTCTGCACCTGGGGCCAAAAGTAGCTTTCTGTGATTAGAAATGGATTGGGGATTTTAAATTAAAATCAGTTTAAATAAGCACCCAGCTGTATATCACAATCAAATCATATCACATCGCCTCTGTTTAAGATTAAACAGAGATTGATTTGCTTTCTTGGTTTACAGTCTCAGTATGTAAGTGTCTACAGGTTTTTGTTTGTTTATTAGTTTGTTTTTTAATATCCCCAATGTAATCAAACACATGTTCCCTATTCTGTTTACCTTTAAAGTATTACTTCTAACCTGGAAAAAGATACTGGCCAAACATAGCCCAGGTTAGATGCTGTCCAAATGTCAAAGTCCAATTTCCTGCCTTTGGAGCCATGAACTATTTAAATGGCGTGCTTTTTTACTATGCAGGATAATTAGTTATTTATCAGGCAGATCATTTTCATTCCCTGCCAGGGTTTAGGTGCAGAGACAATGGGTGCATGACTGTTAAAAGCAGTTTTCAGAGAAAACTAGTCAAACAGCCACTAATGGGTTCCTGAGACAGGGAATGTCAAGCTGCAGGCTAAAATCTACCTTGACTAGCTAGAATGGATCATGACAGCAAACATTGCAGGAGAACATCCAGTTAAAGATCCATTGGCACTATAAGACAGCAATCAGTAATGGAATAGCTACTGTGCTAAAGCACCAGGTCCAAGGTTTTATTACACAGAATGCTGCTTTGTCTGGAACAATATATGTTATTATAATAATTGATTTATTTTTTACTTATTTACTTATTAAAAGATTTATAGCCTGCCTGCTATCCAAAAGGTGGTAGGTTACATGCCATAAAATGATCAGGGTAAAAAAAAAGAAAATTAAATAAATTAATCATTTTAAAGGACACAGGAATAAGCATAATAACACTGCAAAAAAGGCTCAAAAGGGATAGTTAGGCTGCAGATGTTAAGTTCTGAATATAAGCATTAAAAGTCCAGGTCATAATCTGGATGGGGGAAAGGCAGGTGTCACTGTCAACCTAGTCTCCTGGTCATTCCAAAAATGAGGTACCACAACAGCTACAAACCCGTTATTTTATTATTGTTCCCTGTGGAAATTCATCGTGTAAAATT